TTTCATTTAATGAAAATGCAAAATAGATATATCCAGCCTAAACTCAGATCAAATTTAGAGTTAGAGTACATATTTTAAAATCATTTAAGTTTTTGTTTGTTTTATCAAAATGATGCAACTGAGATAAAGTATGAAAATAGTTATATCAAAGTGATTAGAAGAAGCTGGGTGCATGCCTATAACCCCCATGGCTCTGGAGGCTGAGGCATGARGATTGCAAGCTCCAAGTCATCCTCAGCAACTTAGTGACACCCTGTCTCATAATAAAAAATAAAAAGGGCTGAGAATGTGACTCAGTAGTTAAGCACCCTGGATTCAATGCTCGGTACCAAAAAAAGGAAAAAAGAAAGAAAATTGCTTATAGGAAAATTGTGATGGAAAAATCAATATATATTTATTGTGTTAGTTTTTCATTGCTGTGACTAAAATACCTGACAAGAACAACTTAGAGGAGGAAAGATTTATTTTTGGCTCATAGTTTCAGAGGTCTTGGTCCATGGTCCACAATTGCAGAAGTCTCATGGTAGAAGGGCATGGCGGAAGAAAGTTGCTTAGCTCATGGCAGCTGGGAAGCAAAGAAGTGGGGCAGGGACAGATATAATCCCAAAGGCCCTGCCCCGAGTGATTTACTGCCTTCAACCGTACTCTATCTTCTAGTAGTGCATTTAGTCATCCAGAGATTAATCCACTGAGCAGGTCCAAGCCAAAGCCCCACCTCTGAACCTTGCCCCTAGTGATTTACTGCCTTCAACTGTACTCTACCTTCTAGAAGTACATTTAATCATCAGGAGATTTAATCCACTGAGCAGGTCCAAGCCTTCATGACATAATCATTCCTTAAAAGCCCCACCTCTGAACATTACTGCATTGAGAACCATACTGTCAACACATGAGCCTTGGGGGACATTCCAGATCCAAACCATAATTTTTACATTTCCATGAACTTTAACACCTGAACCCTTTTCCAAACAAAATCATAAGTGTAACTAATTGATRAAATCATTTTGTCTGTTAGTATAATTTTATTTAAGTTAATATTTATAAGATTGTAAAGTCAGTCAATGGAATTATGAGGCTTTTGATGAACCCACCATTTGAATTGGGGTATAGATAAAAGTTGGAGATTTATATCAAACTTAGCAAGCAGTGTCTTTATATATTTATCAGAAGTTCTCTTAATCAACTAGCTGTTAAACAATTCTGTTGATTAGTCAACCCTATAAAATAAACAGATACTCATGAGCTTTAGAATACATATGGCCAGGAGTAAGCTGCTCTCTCATATACTCATGTAATTCTGTTTTCACTGTTTGAGTTATAACTTACCAGGATCAGTTTTCTTTAATTCTAATTCTATTTATATCAATTACACTTGTATTATAATTATTGCAACTTAATTAAATAATATGTGAACTAATAAAGTATGAGTATGAAAAGAAAGCTCTTTCTATGAAAACTTTAATTGAAGGCTTTGGAAAACTCAATAAAGGTGAGTTGTTAAAAACAAGTTCTTCTGAAATATTAATTCTTAGCATAGGTCCACAAAGGGTACCCTGGAGAACCCTGCATGAACCTCTTGAATTGTATTAAATATACACCATGAAGTAAGCATTATTTCATCTCTAGTGCATATCAAATGTTACATATCCTCTYTTCACATTGCAAAATCTTATATTATCCTCCTAATTTAGCTTTTCTTAATCCACATTTTATGAGGATAGAATGGAATAACGTATATGCAAATGTGGCTTTCATTTCAATATAAAGGTATACTCAGCAGTTTCATAAATCCTGATACTGATCAGTTATGTATCAGTGTGTAAAAATTCCATTCAGGCTTAGTCATCAGGAGATTAATCCACTGTGCCAAAGTGTTACTGCTTGTGGTTTCCTTCCCAACTTTAAGTATATGCACCCTGTAGCAAATGGAGTAGATAGAGATGTCCAACCCTGAATAGACTTCTGTACCTCTGGAATAAAATACATAGCAAAAAGAAGACTGCAGAATAGTATCAAAATATTCCAACATGATAATAAAAGCATAATCTAGAGGAACTAAAGGAAGGGCAATGTAGATCAAAACAGGTTGAAAACACCTATTGAGTGTAAATCTTTGCCTTTTCAGTTGGGCCTCAGTTCTAGCTAATCTCAGTTATATTTGAGTACCTCACTTTTTCTTTCTTTTTTTTTTTTTTTTTTTTTTGTAGTGTTGGTGTTTGAACCCAGGGTTTTGTGCATGCGGCGCAAGCACTCTACCAACTGAACTATATCCCCAGCCCAAGTACCTCACTTTTTAAGCCTCTCCAGCCATTCTCTATTTCATGAGTGAAAATTCCTTTAGGGAAGTTACAGAAGATATTGATTCATCAAATACCTGGCCATTATAATTTTTTAAATATAGGGACAACCTTTAAAAGGTCAATCAACAATGTCTTGATAGTCAATAGTATGATAATTTTTAGAGTTGACAGCACTTGAGAATGTGCAAAGTACTTTTATTTATTCATTTGCAGTGCTAGGGATTGGACCCTGCATGCTTCACCACTGAGCCATAACCCCAACCCTTTTTATCTTTTATTTTGAGACAGGGTCTTGCTCAGTTGTTGAAGTTGCCCTTGACCATGTCATTTTCCTGTCTCAGCTTCTCAAATAGTTAGGACTAAAGACTACATGCACTACCACTCTCAGCCAAAGTACTTTTATTTATATCAACTCCTCTAAACTTTCYAACAGTTATTTGAAATAAGCTTAGCAAATATTTTTAATTTGCAAATAACAATATTCAGGTTAAGTGATTTGGCTGAGAACATTAATGCCCTTGTAAGTGAAAATAATTTTGTACTATAAAGAATAATCTGAAAATGCGAATAGGAATAGGTTGGTATATGGGATGGCTAAAAGGAAGAAAGGCTGATAAATTGTTGGTAAGGAGTTTTCAGATAAATATAATAAGTATTTCACTTAAGAGTAGAAAAAACATTAAAATGAAAAAATGGTTTATAATAGTGGCCTATTCATGGCATCATTCTATATCAGAGTGGTACTGAAGAGACATTTTGTCTGCAAATAGAAATTTTCCCACCATGGCATTTATGGACCTTGCTTTATACTTACTGTCTAAGTAACAATCACTACAAAAAATTTTGAGTGCCTATTATGCATGTTTAAGTATTTTTTTAAAATTTGTTCTAATTAATTATATATGACAGTAGAATGCATTTTGACATATCATACATAAATGGAGTATAAATTCTCATTCTTCTGGTTGTACGTGATGTAGAATTACACCAGTCTTGCAATCATATATGCACATAGGGTAATAGTGTCTGATTCATTCTACTATCCTTTCTACCCCCATACTCCTCTCTCCMTTCATTTCCCTCTGTCTAATCTAAAGGATCTTTACTCTTCTCTAGCCCCACCCCCTTATTGTGAATTAGCATCTGCATATTAGAGAAAACATTCAGCCTTTGCTTCTTTGGGATTGGCTTATTTTGCTTAGCATGATATCCTCTAGACCCATCCACTTACCAGCAAATGCCATTATTTCATTCTTCTTTAAGGTTGTATAATATTCCATTGTGTATATAGACCACATTTTCTTTATCCATTCATCTGTTGAAGAGCATCTAGTTCCATAGCTTAGCTATTGTGAATTGAGCTGCAATAAACATTGATGTGGCTTTGTCACTGTAATATGCTGATTTTAAGTCCTTTGGGTATATGCTGAGGCGTGGAATAGCTGGGTCAAATGGTGGTTCCATTCCAAGTTTTCTGAGGAATCTCCATACTGCTTTGCAGATTGGTTGCACCAATTTGCAGCCCCACTCTGCAATGTATAAGCGTACCTTTCCCCCCCCACATTCTTGCCAACACTTATTGTTGCTTGTATTCTTGATAATTGCCATTTTGACTGGAGTAAGATGAAATCTTAGTTTTGATTTGCATTTCTCTAATTGCTAGAGATGATGAACATTTTTTCATATGTTTGTTGATCAGTTGTATTTTTTCTTCTGTGAAGTGTCTGTTCAGTTCCTTAGCCCTTTTATTGGTTGGATGATTTGGGGTTTTTTGGTGTTAAGTTTTTTGAGTTCTTTATATATCCTGGAGATTAGTGCTCTATCTGAGGTGCACATAGTAAAGATTTCCTYCCATTCTGTAGGCTCTCTTAGAGTTATTGATTGCCTCCTTTGCTGAGAAGAAGCTTTTTATTTTGAGTCCATCCCATTTACTGATTCTTGATTTTACTTCTTGTACTTTAGGAGTCTTATTGAGGAAGTTGGTTTCCTAAGCCGACATGTTGGAGAATTAGGCCTACATTCTCTTCTAATGCAGGGTCTCTGGTCTGATGCCTAGGTCCTTGCTCCTCTTTAAGTTGAGTTTTGTGCAGGGTGAGAAATCGGGGTTCTGTTTCACTCTACTACATGTGACTTTTCAGTTTTCCCATTGCCATTTGTTGAAGAGGCTCTTTTCTCCAGTGTATGTTTTTGGCACCTTTGTTCAGTAAGAGATAACTGTATTTATGTGGGTTTGTCTCTGTATCTTCTATTCTGTTCCACTGGTCATCATGTCTGTTTTTGTGCCAAAACCATGCTATTTTTATTACTATATAGCTCTGTAGTATAATTTAAGGTCTGATATTGTGATGCCTTTTGCTTCATATTTCTCTCTAAGGATTGCTTTGGCTATTCTGGGCCTCTTATTTTTCCAAGTGGATTTCATGACTGATGTTTAATGCACTTTTAATCATTAGAATAAATCTGTGAGGAAGTCATTATGTTACAGCTGCACAAGCTGAGGCTCACAGAGCTTCGTCAGCTTCCTGCAGTCATACAACTAGCCAAACTCTATTAGCCAACTGCAGGATAATAGTAAGGATTCAACCCAGGTAGACTGGCTCCCAAACCGATGTTGTCTCCCAACTTCCCCAGATGTATGTTTTCTTATGAATAAGAGGAAATATCTTCATACCTTGGGTGTTTGTACTTTGTTTTTCAAAGAAGTTATCTTCAGATACCAACGAAAAGGAAGTGAAAGCTAATGAAGAGCCACTCCTAAGAAAGAGTTCTCGCCGATTTGTCATTTTTCCAATCCAGTAYCCTGATATTTGGAAAATGTATAAACAGGCACAGGCATCCTTCTGGACAGCAGAAGAGGTATGTGGCATCATCTTATTAACATTCATGGCCTATAATGCAGTGTTGACTTCCTGTGTTATGGAGTGTTGAAACATTTTAACTTTTAATAAGACCAGTTGTATAAGATGAGGTTAAGAATTTTTGAGACTAAACATAGTGTTCTCCAATATTTTAGTTTAGATCACTTTCTATAAACAAATTATCTGCTGCTGCTGCAAAAAAATTGCATGTTGTTCTGCCTGGTGCTTTGTTTTGTTTTGGGATACTGGGGGTTAAATCCAAGGAAGCTTTACCATTGAGCCATATCCCCAGTCCTTTTTATTTTTCATTTTGAGACAGGATCTCACTAAGTTGCCAAGGCTGACTCTGAACTTGCTATCCTCCTGCTTCAACTTCCCAAGTAGCTGTGATTACAAGCGTGTGCCACTGTTCCAGCTATATATTTTTACACTAAAATATTTTAGGACATTTTCTACTTTTAAACATATTTTTGGTTTGCTATGGCCACATAGATTAGTCTTTACTTGTGCTCAGCAAAATAAGCAAAGTTGTAACTATGGTTAAAAAAAAAAAAGAAAAATAGACTGAAAGCTTTAAGGACCCTGCTTTCATTTAAATAAATTATATGAATTGCTTAACTGATTGTACAAAAGGAGCTAACCAGGCTGACTTCACAGTTCTTCCATTCTGCCTCAGCAGCATCAAACTTGATTCAAGGGCTGAGGATRTGGCTGAGAGGTAGAGCACTTGGCTTAGTGTGCAGAAGACTCTGGGTTGGATCCCTAGCACCACAAAACAAACAAAAACCTGATACAGTTCCCCCTAACAGGATAGATGTAGAATGTTGTCTGTTATTGTGACTTTTTCCACTAAGGAAATGAGTTGAACACAGCAAATTAGATAATATTTGCTGGTTTGGTAAGGACAGGTGGTCATGCAAATGACTTCTTTGTAGTCTAGTTGAACACACAAATAGATATGGCCTTCATCTTGCTCTGTGTACATACACATAAGTAATGTCTCTATTTCTATAGATATATCTATCTGGATAGATAAATTTGGATTGGTCTGTTTTTCAAGAGATTTATTTTATACATATAAACATACCCTGTAAAAATGCAGATTCTGGGGCCTGGCTGCCTAAGTACAAATCCTGCTCTTTTGCTTATTAGTTGTAGAACTAGGAAAGTTGCTTTACCCTCTTTGTGTATTGTCATAGATAAATGAGGCTAATAGTACCTGCCTATTAGGTTGTTAGCCCATTAGGACTAATGAGAAATTAAGAAAGGTACCTGACACTTAGTAAGCACTAAATAAATGCTTTATTTTATGCCTAGAATGAGTATTATTTAACTTAGATATCAGAAAGGCACAAGTGTCTGAAATTTCTCTTAAACCAATTTTACCTACTTTCCCTTCTTGTATTGTCAACATCTTTATTATACTGTAGTTGACATATAGAGCAAAAAAGCAAACAAAACATCTGGTATTTTTAGGGGGCTAGGGGGCTAGGGGGCTACCAGGGATTGAACTCAGGGGCACTCAACTGCTGAGCCACATCCCCAGCCCTATTTTGTATTTTCTTTAGAGACAGCATCTCACTGAGTTGCTTAGCACCTCGTTTTTTCCTGAGGCTGGCTTTGAACTTGCCATCCTTWTGCCTCAGGCTCCTGAGTTGCTGGGATTACAGGCATAGGCCTCTGCACCTGGCCATATTCAGTACTTTAATACTGGGTCATAAAGCTTGGCACACCTGACTCTCCCTAACTGTCTGTGGTTTTTAGAAAGTTTTTGTTAGACTTGGTTCAGAGAGCAAGTGAAGTATACAGCTGGGATTTTTCACATTAAAAAGGTACCTGTGATACTTGGTTTTCTTGAAATTCATTTGGGAACTATATTTGTTTTTAGCAAATGTAATAAGTGTTCTATGACTAAGAAACACTAATTTTTAAAAACTAAAATATGCAGGTTGATATTGATTTTGTGGGAAGATTCAAGTGCTTGTTATGAAGGGAAGTCAAACACATTCTTAGTTCCACATATTTTTCATTTAAACAAATYATGTAAGTTATCATTTAATCAACTTTGGACTCTACTTTTTAAAAAAAAAAATCAGTGGTTGAACTTAACTTCTCAATATTAAACCCCCACTTTGGAAGGCAAAAGGTCAGGCTCCTCTGATTGGCTCCTCTGCGGTGATGTTCATTGGGCTGTTTCCCTGCCCTTCAGACTGCCAGCTGATGATTGGCTCACAGCGGCCCTAGCAACATCTAGCTGATTGGCTCCTCCACGAGCTGCTCATTGGGGGACTTCTTTGGCTGTGGCTCTCAACAGCCTTGGGATTTTTTTTTTTTTAATAAGTCACTTGGGCAATTTTGATAATCAGCTAGTATGTTAACTTTCTGTTGCTGTGACAAGATTCCTGAGAAAATCAACTTATAAAGGGAAAGATTGATTTTTGGCTCACAGTTTCAGAGATTTCAGTCTATGATTGCTTGGCCTTCTTGCTTTGGACCTGTGACAGCACAGTACATCATGTCCAGTGTGCATGGTAGAGGCCACCTGGTCACCACATAGTGGCTGGGAAGTGAAGAAAGAGGAAGTAACCAGGGGTCCCAATATTCCCTTCAAGGGCAAGCCCTTAGCAACCTAATTTCCTTCCACTAAGTCCCACTTCCTACTGGGTCTACCACTTCTGGTAGAGCCACAGATGATGACTGTGCTTTTGACACATGGACCTCAGGGAACATTGAGGATCCATACTATTGCAGCTAGTTTGGAGTCAATTTTTAGATGATGGAAGTGAGAATTTGCTCAAGAGAGATAAAACTAGGAWGGAAGGTTTATGTTTCTGGAAGGGAATATAACCAATGTATAAGTAAAATTTATATGTTTAAAGAGATTTTAATATTTAAGAACAAACATATTTTAATATTAAAACTCAGTATCAGGAAGATGTCCTTTGTGAAGCCTGARTTGAGCCCTTAGTAGAACACAACTTGATTTCTAGTGTATTTATTTTACAAGATGAAGACAAATATTACACCCTCTCCATCCCATCATATCCTCAACGCTTAGCATAATATTGGGCATGTAGTAAGTGCTCAGCAAACATCTAAAAAATAGGGGTTTAGGAAAGAAAACAAAAAGTGAAAATTATGGATATTACTCTTTTTTGGGGGGAAAGGTCAAAGACATTGGAGCTTTGTTAGAATAGGTTAAAATAAGGACAAAAACAATATAATCACATCTTACAAGGTCAGTTACGAATTTTTTTTCATTTCATTTTTTTTCTCCTGATACTGGGGATTTAACCCAGGGATGTTTTACCACTGAGCCACATCCCCAKCCCATTTTAATTTTTATTTTGAGACAGGGTCTTGCTAAATTGCTTAGGGCCTCAGTAAGTTACTGAGGCTGACCCCAAACTTGTGATCCTTCTGCCTCAGCCTCCAAGCTGCTGGGATAGGCATGTATCACTGTGCCCAGCACATATTTCAAGTGTTTATGAAGTTATTGTGAAACATACTTAAGATATTTTTCTAATACAAAATATCCAGAAAAGCTATGAACTGAGGCTGCCCCCCCCACCCCCAGTTTATTGGTTGAACTCCTAATCCCCAGTGTGATTCTGTTGGTGGGGGCCATGGGAGGTAATTAGATAATAAGGTCTGTGCATTTTGAAGGGAATCCATGCCCTTAGAAGAAGAAATATGAGAGAGTTGAAGTATGAGAAAGATGATCTCTCTTTGCTCTGAGGATAYGGCAAGAAGGTGGCCATCTGTAAATGAGGAAGTGGGCCTTCACTAAGAAACTAAGCAGGYTGGCACCCTGAGCTTAGCTTTCCAGCCTCCAGAACTGTGAAAAGTAATCTTTTTGTTGGTTAATCCACCCAGTCTATTTGTTATAGCAACCAGAGGTGTAAAGGTTATYTTAAAATGGTAAATTTTTGCCGAATTCTATAGTGCATCTCTCTTAATACCAAGGACTAATTCTGATAAATGTTTTAAAAAATATTTCTATTCCCTGAGGAAGGCATACCTATAAACTGCTTGACGTTACTTATGGGTAGAGTAGGTTAGTTGACGATAAAGTAGAAGATACAGTTGATTAACAGTTACTTTATTATTTGTGTAACAACATAGTAAATATCATGTAAAATGTTAAAACAATGGCTGCTGAAAGTCATTGTTTATTCACCTCAATTCTTTCTTGACTAGTTTTATTCTACCATTCCTCTGTCTCTTCATTTTTTTCCAGTGCCAGTCTGATAATTGTAACATTTTGAAAGTACATCTTAACTAGCTTCTCATTTAGCCAGAAAATCATCCTATTATACTGTTTTGTTATCTTTTACTTAAATTGTAGATAAATCTTAAATATACTAGATATATCTGGCATGTTATATATATCTTGGAAACCTTAAATATGTTTGTAGATAAATCTTAAATATACTAGATATATCTGGCATATTTTATATATATATATATATATATATATATATATATATAAATATCTTAGAAACCTTAAATATGTTATATCTATAGTAAAATGATTGCTATAATATAAGATAATTAACATATCTATTATGTCCCAAGAATAGCTAAAATTTACTTGTTTAGCAGATGTCCTGGATAAAATACCCTATTATTAACAGAATGTTTTTGTTTTAGTCTCTTTGTGATGTTAACATTTTTTCTTTTTCACAGTTTACTGCTTGTTGTTATATCCTTTCTTAATGTTAGAGTGGAAATTAGTTTTCTAAACAGTAACTGTTAAAATTTTTGAAAAAAATTTTTATTGTAGGTTGACTTATCAAAGGATCTCCCTCACTGGAACAAGCTTAAATCAGATGAGAAGTATTTTATCTCTCACATCTTAGCCTTTTTTGCAGCCAGTGATGGAATTGTAAATGAAAATTTGGTAAGATTTTTTAAATTTTACTTTTGTGCTATTTAGCCATTAAATGATGATACTATAAGTAAGATCATTAGATTGAGCCTGAGAAAAGATGCCTAAGTAATTGAATAGATGAAGCTTGATTCTTGAAAGTGTTTTCTGATAAAGTGCAGAGGAAAGGATAGATTTCTGCTATCCAATCAGCTAAATATCATGAAATGAAGCGTAAAATGTGGCAACTAAAACCTGCTTAAACTTTAGGTTGATTTTTTTTATCCTCAGATAATAAATCTAATAGAGATTCTCTACTTAAATGGGATCCTAATAAGAATAAATTGTACTCCGTATATGTATAACATGTGAAAATATACTCTACTCTCATGTATATCTAAAAACAACAACAAAAGAATCTCTACCTTAATAATCATATTGAGCTTTGTATAAAACACCAGGTTCTGGCTTCTCTTTTAAAAAATTTGTATTATATTGATTCTGGAGGCAGAATTTCTTGTTAAACAGAATAGAGCCGGGCCCAGTGTTACATGCATGTAATCCCAGCTACTTGGGAGGTGAATYAGGAGGAACTTAAGATTGAAGGCAGTCTGGACAATTTAGGGAGACCCTACCTCAAAATTTAGAAAGAGAGAGAGGGAGAGAGAAAGAATAGCGAATAGAGATATGACTTTCCATCATAGAATAGAAGAGCGTTTAACAGATCTCTTTACTTTTGGAAATAAATTCTTCAAAGGAAAATTATTAGTTTTGGTAGATGTTCTAAAGTTTATTTGTTCTTTGGGCACTATTTCAACCTAACAGGACAATTCATATAATTGTATAAGAATATATTATGCAATTAATTTATTGTAGAGGATTTGATGAATAAATAATACTGCTTAAGTTAACCCTTAACTTCTTTCTGACCTGTTTATTGCAGGCGGGCAGTTTTTAATGATCATTCTGATGTCTGTATTCAGATTTGCAATGTTTAACCAAGTGTTTTGTGAGAGACCACAGCATTGGATCTGTTTCCCCTATTTTTTAGGTGGAGCGCTTTAGTCAGGAGGTGCAGGTTCCAGAGGCTCGCTGTTTCTATGGTTTTCAAATTCTCATCGAGAATGTTCACTCAGAGATGTACAGTTTGCTAATAGATACTTACATCAGAGATCCCAAGAAAAGGTATTCCTGCTGAGATTTTTATTTGCATAGTTTTATCCTAGTGCTTAAATTTATTGCAAAATTTATTAACAAAGCTAAACGTTAAGGAAATATTGTTTACATATAGAAGTTTTTAACAACTGTGTTTTCTATTGCCCAATAATGTGTTAGATTAAAAAAAGCTTATATAGAATTAGTTAATCTTTAGATATTTTATAGTATCTTAAAAAACAGTTCATTAGCACATTCTGTTTAGAAATTGARTATTTGCATTTAGTTGATTTAGTATCAGACCATATTCAGACCACTAATTTGAGTTTTGCTTTCATTTTTATATTTTATGAACATGCAAAAATATAGAAAAATTACAGAGTTACAGTTAGTCTCTGATTAAACCATTAAACTTTAGTTCAATTAATAAACAAGTAAATAACTTCCCTGAATTCTGTTATTCTTACAGGGAATTTTTATTTAATGCAATTGAAACAATGCCATATGTTAAGAAAAAAGCAGATTGGGCTCTGCGATGGATAGCAGATAGAAAGTCTACTTTTGGTATGTAACTCTCAATTACATGTAATCAAATTTGCTTTGGATGATGTACTATCCACAGCCCAGTTGTGCTAGGGTAGTGGGATAGTTTGCCAAGAGATTAAAGAAGATGCATGGAGATGGCATGTGAGATAGACATAAGGTTTATTGAAGACTGCTTGAGGAAGGTCCAGGGGTGACTGGCCGGATAGATTATATCTCTGACTGTCATGGTGCTTTGCCAGAAAGTAGTGCCTCTGTTCTTCATGGCACTTGGTCCAGTAGTGGCCAGCTGGACAAGCACTTATCCTGTCCACAGTGCTCTCTGTTCCACACCAATTACCACAGGGAGGGAGGCTTTATAGGGTAGGATACAGAAGCAGTGACATCATTAGCTCGCTTTGTCCCATTGTATGACCAGCATTCCAAAGGATTTAGCAGACAAGCACAAAAGGAGTTTTTATAGGTAACACTAGTTTGCACCTCAAAGATCTCCTGTATCTGTAGAACTCCCAGATACATCTGGACCACACTCAAGAACAAGTGATRAAATGCTTATATGGGCAAGTATGTGGTATATTGGTGAAGAAACAGATATGTTTGCATTGCCTCCAGTTCATTGTAAGAATGAGAAAAGCAGTGCTTCTTGATGTGCATTAATAGCATCTGGAAAATTTGTAGAAAACCCCTGTAGAATCCTGGTTCTCACTAGACAGAGTGATTCAGGAAGTACAAGTGGGACTGAGGAATCTGCATTTCATATCCAGATGATTTTTTCACAAGTGGTTTGAGAAGCACAGGTTGGGATACTGACTTCAGAGAAAAAAAATCAGGAAAATATCAAGATGTTCAATATGCATTGAAAATATTAGTATGGATAGATACTGATAGAAAATTATGAATGAATTACAGAAAGTTGGTGTTTTCTGATACCACCCAAGAAAGACAAGCTAGAAATAGAGAAAACAGAGAAGGATGGTATCATCTTGCARTCACAGCAGGGGCTTCAGTTAGGTTGTTCTTATTGTTTAATCTCAAAGAAAATCCCACTTAGGATTCTGATTTAGGGCCTCAGAAGAAATAATGTATTTTAAAATGGTGCAGGAGGAGGAGTGAAATAAGAAGGGAAAGGGAGAAGAGTGAAGTGCACATTGGTAGTTTTCCATTTTGCAAGTGGAGCTAAAAGACAGTAACACAGAAATATTATTTTGCTTTACCACACACCTGTACCTTCCTTTAAAGAAAGAAGAAGTGCAATTTTAAAAATTAATTGTGCCATCTACACCATTAGTAACTTTGGGTTGACAAGGCAACTTTTTCATCTGGCTGAGGTCTTTGCCTAACATTTTGGGGGATGCTCTAGGTGACTTTTGCACCAACTGAGGACCCAGTGTAGCAACTGTTCTTTCCTTACCTCCAGACTCCTGTAATCCATTAAATTTTAGCTAAAGAGGACCTAAGAATACTTCTTGAAAAATAATTAGTTAGTTTTAGGGGTTGGGGTTGTGGCTCAGTGGAAGAGTGCTCACCTAACATGTATGAGGCACTGGGTTTGATCCTAAGCACCACATAAAAAATAAATAAATAAAGTTATTGTGTTCATCTACAACTAAAAAATTTTTCTAAAATTGTTAGTTTTAAGTTCATATATTATAAGGAGATTCAATTCTAGTAGAGATAAAAATTTCTAACTATATATTTGTAGTTTTTAAAAATTCAAGACCTACTGTTTAGTTTAAAAAAAACTTTGAAAAATTTTAAAACATAGATATAGTAAACCTTAATAAATGTAAAGAAATTATATTTTATACTTCAAGTGCTAGTTATACAGTCTTAGTGCATTGCATCATAGAGCTCTGCTATCTTAAAAATATATCCCACTTTCTTCTCTCTAAAACAAATCATGAGGCTTTAACATTCATTTCCTTTTAGAAGAAATGTTTTGGGACTCTCTTTTTATTTCACATATATTCTTGAAAATTTGAAAAATTTACCCTTTACAATCCTTTAATCTTCTCCAAAAATGGTCATCTATAACTATTTATTATGATTTTCATTCTTTGGTGTTCATATGAGTGCATGCAATGGTTAAAATGACAATTTCCCCCCTTGTTCATAATATATATATATATATATATATATATATATATTTTTTTTTTTTTTTTTTTTATTAGTATTTTAACTTGGGGCACTCGACCACCGAGCCATATCCCCTGCACAATTTTGTATTTTATTTAGAAACAAGGTCTCACTGAGTTGCTAAGCGCCTCGCTAGCTTTGAACTCCACGTTCCTACTGTCTCAGCCGCCTGAACTGCTAGGATTACAGGCGTGTGCCACTGCGCCCGTCAGAATGTTTATATTTATAGTCTTGTTTTCTTATAGATATTTGTCCATATGATGTTACCTTAATGCCAATTTAAAATGTATCAAATGTAACTACCTGTCATCTTATTAATAGGAAGATAAAAGCATAGTAAATTATGTTAAACTAATGATGAATGTCTTGCTTAAGCTTAGTGTTATTATTATTACATTTTAATATTTAGTTAGTATATAACACATTAAAGAATCTTCTTTTCCACAATTGAGGGCTGAGGGTATAGCTCAGTGGTAGAGTGTCTGTCTAGAATGTGTGGAGTCCTGGCTTCTATCCCCAGCCATGCCAAAAACCAATCAACCAATCAACCATTCCTTTGACATAGTGAATATTTGTTTAATTTATATTTCTTTTTTTTATGAAGTTAATTTTAAAATTGTGTCTGTAAAAATAAAATACTTCAGAAATTTCCCATGTTTTAGACTACTAATAGAAATTTGGATTACCAAGTATATGATTTATCAGATTTGGTTTGATAATCAGGGAGAAACAAGGACAAACCAGAGCAYTATTTAGCGACAGCCAGAAACATTTGAATTTAGTCAGCTTTCTTTTTAAAATTTAAATTTGTWCTGGAAATTTAAAATATTTATTCAGTTTCTACATCAAATTTTTGTGTTTTCTATGGAATGAGTTTTAATGCTTCTTAATATCTTCTATAATTTACTTTGGTTTGGTTGAGGACACATTTATTAAGTACTTGCTATGTGTTTGCTCCTGCAACAAGTACAAGGAATATAAAGTACAAGATACTAGCTGGGCATGGTGGTGCACAATTGTAATCCCAGTGATTCGGGAGGCTGAGGCAGGAGGWTTGTAAATTTGAGGCCAGTCTCAGCAATTTAGTGAGACCGGTCTCAAAGTAAAGGGCTGGGGATGTGACTCAGTGGTTAAGCATCCCTGGCTTCAGTCCCTGGTGTCCCCAGCCCTCACAAAAACAGATACAGGTATAAGAAATATAAACTATGTCATCAGTAACAAAGGCCTATAGTTTCCTCAAGCACTCAGTGCCTTTATCTCACAATCTACAACCTTTCTCCCTAGATATGCAGTATGGTGACATAAGGGGCATGTGTATAATCTTTTGGATTAAGTCTATAATCATTTCCTGGAGACGATGTTATAGATTATGCCACTAGATATATTTCAGGAATAGGCTTCTGAAAAGAAAGAAACTTTTGAAATTGGCCCTTATGTATTTAGCAGAGAATAGTATTTTTGCTTGGATGATAGGATATTTTTGCTTATGTTTTTGGTATTGGCTGTTGAACCTGGGAACACTGAGCCCTTTTTATTTTTTATTTTGAGACAGGGTCTTGCTAGGTTACTAAGGGCCTCCCTAAGTTGCTGAGGTTGGCCTCAAACTTCAGATCATTCTACCTCAACCTTCTGAGTCACTGGAATTATAGGCGTGCACCACCTCAACCTCCTGAGTCACTGGAATTACAGGCGTGTACCACCACACCTGGCTGTGATAGGTATATGTATTATCATCAGCTGGGCTCATCTATTTTTTAATTGCATATTCATGACAATGTCTTTGAAATATTTATAACTAGTTTATAAGATATATAGGTTGCTAAAAATATAAATCTCAGCAGTATGTGCACATACTGTACTCACATGCATGTGCCTGCATTCACAAGCACCTGTAGGTGACAGGCAAATCACTTATTTTTTTGAGTGTAGAAGGCCATCCTTTGCCCAGAAACCAAGTCTACAAAATGTAGGATTTTGAAGTAGACATACCTTTCTGTCCTAGTAGGTAGGGTAGAAAATTTCCTTCTCTAAAGATCTTTAGCCACTGCACTAACTTGTTTATTTCTTGGAAAAATAGTTGAGGTATTATTAAAAAAAATATATAAACTTGCAAATGTTTGCAGTATGTGATATTTAGAAAGTGAAACTGTTTTATGTCTCCTAGGGGAAAGAGTGGTGGCCTTTGCTGCTGTGGAAGGAATTTTCTTCTCAGGATCTTTTGCTGCTATATTCTGGCTAAAGAAGAGAGGTCTCATGCCTGGGCTCACATTTTCCAATGAACTGATCAGCAGAGATGAAGTAAGGTTTGAAATGTTTCTCCAGTTATATTTGTTTTCATATGTCATGTTCATCTACTTTTCTTTCCTCTGAGAAATGCTTATGGTGACTCAAATACCCTGGTAATTAAAAGGAAATAGGAAGTCATTTCTTCTATGGCTGGTAAGATTGCACTTTCTTACTGTGTCTCTCATCATTTTTCCTCAGTCCCTGCTCATTCTTAAACATCAGTATGCTTCTGGACACCTGCTTTGGTCTTCCTGACTCCTTGACTTTGTATGATCTTCTGGCTCATCTTATTTGTTCACATGATATCAGCTACCATCTAAAAGCTCACAGCTCCCCAGACTTTATCTTTATCCCAGATAGTCTTTTCTGATCTCCAAACAAATAGGTGCACCTTAGTTGTTTTCTTCTGGATTAGTCTATAGGTATCTCAAATCTGACATTTCAGAAATCAAACACATCATCTTTCTTTCAAAATTTGTTCTTCCTCTGTTTTACGTACCTTAATGAGTCTCTCCCTACCCACTCTCCAGTCATCCAGTTTGAAATCTGGGAATCATTTCAAATTGCTTCTTTCCTATTTAGCCACATTCAATCATAAGTTTTATCTTTCCCTCTGTCTGCAACACCCTTTCCATTTTTCCTACCACTTTTTTTTTCTACCTGTTGATGACCTTCTCAAAGTAGGCAACTTAAAATTTTCCTTATCCAAGTGGATCAAATTGACCATTTTTTTCCTTTATGAACCCCTTCAAAATATAAACTTGTCATTCTTTGTTAGAGTCCACAATACACATTGGTCTCTCCTCTGCTGGAGTTTGAGTTTCTTAGCGTAGAGACATGGTTTCATTGATCCTTCTGTCTCAATAGTCATCCTATTACAGCCATTCAGTTCACATTTATTGACTATACTAATCTTGGTTCCTCAGTTTATATCTAAGTGACCTTGTCAAGTTAATTTACTTATCTGTTTCTTGGTTTCTTCAACTATAAACCTTAGCAGGGCTTTTTTTCTAATGCAATGAWCAGTATATATGAAAGCATGGTTTTTTTCAGTACCAGGGATTGAACCCAGAGGCATTCTATCACTGAGCTACATCCACAGTTCTTTTTATTTTTTATTTTGAGGCAGGCTCTCACCAAATTGCTGAGGCTGGACTCAAAAACTGTGATCCTTCTACCTCAGCCTTCCAATTTGCTGGGATTATATGTATGTGCCACCATACCCAGTTGAAAGTATTTTTTAAGTGCTATAAAATACTTTCTATAATTACTTTTTGATCTTTCATATCTTTAAATTTCTGATAACTTTTATCATAAATGTCATATATGATTATATGATTATAGAAAATTTGGAGAACAAAAAGTTACACAACACACAGGTGACCACTTTTACAATTTTATTATATTTCTAGACCTGTTTTCTACATTTATATTTATGCAGATACATATAAATACAATAGTTTCACAAATTATAGTTTCATTTTTTTCACTTGGGAAAATATTATGAGCATTTTTCTATGCTATTAAGCATTTTTTGAAAATARTTTTTTTAGATACATAATAATAGATGAATGCATTATTTATTTGACAATAATTGGAAATTTAAGTTGTCTTTAGGATTTTCTTTTTTGTTGTTGTTGTTGTTGTTATATAAAATGCATACTTTGTATATAAGCTTTGTCCTAACTTTGTATTATTTTCTTACACTTGATCACAAGAAGTAGAAAAAGCAGGTTATGTGATCACTTACACTTGCGGATTTCTTTCCAGAAATTTTATAAACATTTTCTGCTTCATCTAGCAATGTATGAATATTTTCTTACCATATACTCACCAGAATTTGGGTTAATTTGCCAAGTATTTGATAAATTTGATAGGGGCAATTTACATCTCATTATTTGGTTTTGTTTTTGATTATTACTTAGATTGAACTTTTTCAAAATTATATTAGTCATTTGTATTTTTCAGTAGTTAGTCTATTTCTGTTTTTTGCCTTTATTTCTGTTTGATATTAATATTTTCCTTATTTAACTGGGAGTGCTCTTAATATTTAAAGGTTTATTTATCTGATAGTCTATAATCCTTAAAGGAAGGWTGAATGTTAGCATGTTCATTGGTATATTCACAATATACAGTGACTAATTGAACTCTTTCAAGAAGTGTTTGTTAATTGAATTTGTTATATTCATTTCTTATATTTATTGCATGACTATAGCAGAAAATAAKGAATTTTATTATATTTATTTTATATTTTCTGTTTGTCCTTTTTTAAATTTTTGTTTTTCTGTTAACATATAAAAATCTTAAATTTCACTGTAGCAATTTAGCAGTCATGGGTTTTTTTATTACATTAAACTTAGTATTCCAAAAAAAAAAAATTCTTAAATTTTATGTGATCTACTCCCAGAATAAGTTAAATTATCATTTTTTTTTTTTTTTTTTTTTTTTTTTTGTGGTGCTGGGGATTGAACCCATGGCCTTGTGCATGCAAGGCAAACACTCTACCAACTGAGCTATGTCCCCAGCCCTAAATTATCACATTTTTTTTCTTGATTTTTTTAACATTTAACTCTCTAATATGATTGGAATTTCTTTAGTATAAGCATAGAATTTAGTATAAAAGCAGAATGGTATAGAGTAAGTTAGAATTTAACTTAGTTTTAGTTCAAATACTCTTGGTAAGTTTTTCCAGTTCTCTTTCCAGTAATCCATCCTTTCTCCACTGACTTCTGCTGTCTTCTTTATTATATATTAAGATTTTATTATACTAAAATCTGTCTCATGGTCATTTTTTCTGCTTCATTGACTTACCTTAGAGTATTATGATTTTTTAAGATGCTATACAAGCTATTCTAATTATTGTAATTGTATGTTTTAATAATTGGTAGAATAAATCTGAAAACTTTCCTTTTTAAAGTATTCGTGTGTGGACCTAACCATTTATTCTTCCAGATTTTAATTTTTGAATTAAAAAAAATCCCGGGATTTTTTTAAACTCTTTTTTTTAATATTTATTTTTTAGGTGTAGATGGACACAACACAATGCCTTTATTTTTATGTGGTGCTGAGGATTGAACCCGGGTCCCRCCCATGCTAGGCAAGCGCTCTACTGCTGAGGCACAATTCCAGCACCCCCATTGGGATTTTTTAAAAAAATTTTAAATTTGTTCTATTAGTTATACATGACAGTAGAATGAATTTTGACATATTATACACAAATGGAGCACAACTTCTCATTCCTCTGGCTATACATGGTGCAGAGTCACAACACCAGTGTAATCATACATGTATATAGAGTAATWATGTCTGTCTCATTCTACCGTCCTTCCCATCCCCACAGCCCCACCCCTACCCTCACTCCCTCTGCACAATCCAAAGTTCCTTCGTTCTTTCCTACCAACACCCCCACTATCCCACTGGGATTTTGATTGGGAATTCTTTAAACTCAAAATTAGTTTTATTCATTTATTGATTTAACAATTATGAGTGTCTACCTTTTATTTACTGGTCTCTGTAATAGGTAGCTAGTTGTCAGTTCTAATAAACTCTTTCCTTAACATCTTTCAGAAGCTTATTTGACATATACCCTCTTGTAATTTGAAGTATTCTTCTTGAATCAAGTCTGTAGGAAAAAAAATTTCACTAGTAAATTTCAAGTCTGCAGGAAACATTTCACAAGTAAATTTCAAGTCTGCAGGAAAAAAAAAAAAACATTTCACTAGTAAAGATTAGTTGTTAAAAGAGATGTGGGTTTTTTTTTCTTTTAGTTTTTTTTTCCCCTGGGAATTGATAATTTAACCAGGTAAATAATCCTTGTAATACAACCTTTGATTTAGGGATCTTTGAATTGTCTTTGAGTTTTGTTGATTCATTTATAAAAACCTAGGCAACTCTTACTTGTAATCATTTAAAATATATGTTCCTTTCCCCCTTTCCCTTCTTTGGTTGCTTACAAAATTATTTTTCTTTGTAGTTTAGAAATGTTAATTGATTTTATCTTGTTATCATGTAAATTTTGCTGGGAATTCCATTATTTTTCTATGCATGGCCCTTTAATTTTGTTTTGTTTTGAATTTGTGAAATTTGAATTTGTGAAAATTTTCTTTTGTTGTTCTTTTGATTTTCAGCTTTGCTCCATCTGTTCTGTATGTCAGAATCCTGATTATAGGTTGAATCTCTTTGTCTGTTCTCCAGTTACTGAAGATTTTATAATATTAATTGTATTTGCATAATCATTTTTTTCTCAAGGGCATTTCGTATGTTTATTTTCTTCCTTGGTTTAGTTAATGGTAATGTCACGTCTGCTTTTTACAGCTTCAGATGGTGTTTATTATTTTTTAGTTTCCATTATTATTGTACTGAATTCATTTTTATCTTGAGCTATTCTTTTTTTTTTTTTTAGAGAGAGAGAGAGAGAGATTTTTTAATATTTATTTCTTAGTTTTTCGGTGGACACAATATCTTTATTTTTATGTGGTGGTGAGGATCGAACCCAGAGCCCCGCGCATGCCAGGCGAGTGCGCTACCGTTTGARCCACATCCCCAGCCCTTGAGCTATTCTTGAGATATCTTTTTGAAATATTTCTGAGTTTCATCTATTTTTTTTAAATACTACTTATTATTTTTCAATCATCCCTTAAAAAAATCCCTTAAGTTTTTTGACATTTAAGGATTAATGAATTTTCATTTTGGCTCTTCTCATCTTATTTTCTTTTCCAAAATGCTTTTGGTTGTGTATATTTTTTCTTGGTTTGTTTGTAAATTAATTCTTCTTTAATGTTGGTGAACTAAGATTTTCTGGCAGTGAATTTTTTATTATAAGTTATTGAATTAGCATTTAATGAGATTTGAAGGAAAGAAGTTCTTGGCCATATTAATTTCTCTTTAATTCCCTATAAATTTCCACATTGTGTTCTTAGAATCTATTTTATATGATTTGTTTACACAGTGTTTATATAGTATGCATCACTGTGGGCAAATAGCAGATTAAAAGCTTTAACAATGGCATTTGTCTTCTATTTCAGGGACTTCACTGTGACTTTGCTTGCCTAATGTTTCAGTACTTAGTAAATAAGCCTTCAGAAGAAAGAGTGAGGGAGATCATTGTTAATGCTGTCAAAATTGAGCAGGTAAGTAGGGAAGTTTATAAAGTTTAGCACATCTCGCTTTTTCTGATGTTTGTGCCATTATTTTATTAGTTTTATTTATTTATTTATTTATTTATTTATTTATTTATTTTGAGACAGTCTTGCTATACAGTCCAGTCTGACCTTGAACTCCTAGGATAAATTGATCCTCCTCCCTCAGCTTCCTGAATTGCTGGGACTACAGGCATGTGCCACTGTGCCCACTTTAGCATTATTATATTTGATTCATGAAATCATTATCTTGTACTGTCAAATTGACTATATAAACCTGCTTATATTTGTTTTTACCTACAAGATGATGATTTCATGATGTATTGCAATTTTCATGTCAGTTTATAATTTGGTTTACAAATCAGTGTTTGTATAACAAATATTTTAAGGTTTTCTGTATAAGTAAAATCTGCTTTAGGGCTATTTGGCTCATTGATTTATCTGTCAAATTTCATGGTATAACAAACTATTTTAATTGTTATAGCTTTATATTTTTAAATTTAATGGCTACTAGATGATAATGATGTTTTCTATTTGTGTGTGKGGGGTGTAGTGGGTGTTGAACCCTGGGATCATCTACCACTGAGCAACACCACCAGCTGTTTTTAAAATTTAAAATTTTGAGACAGGGTCTTACTTACGTTGCCCAGGCTAGTCTTGTTTMTCCTGCCTCAGCCTTCTGACTCTCTGGGATTACAGGTGTGCACCACTGTGCCCAACAATTATGGTTTCTTATTTTTATTCTCAATAACTTCACAGGGTACCTGGCGTGAAGCATGTACCAGTTTATAAGAYCAATAAGTAAATGAATTATTGAACAGTAAAACTTAATTTATGGTATATAAAGATTTCTGATTACAAAACTGGATGTTCTACTTAAAATGTGTTTTTATTTATTCTAAAGAATTAGTTTATCAGGATGCTGAGCAATAGAGTGCTTGCCTAGAATGTATGATGGCCAGGATTTAATCCCCAGGACCACACACATCCCCAGTAACCACCCCCCCACACAATAAATAAATAAATAAATAAATAAATAAATAAATGAAAATTAAAAAGAAAGAAAAATTAGTTTAAAAATAAAATTTGCTTAGTTTAAAAAAATTGCATAGTTTAACAAGCATGGTTTTCATATTGGAAGGAGGAAAGCATGTGGTTAACATGTTTTTGTTTTTTATCTATTAACATTGTCTTTGAATGTAGAGTTCAGTTTATCTCCTAACCCCTTAATCCATTTCTGTTTTATCTCATATTCTTTGTTAATTAAGTTTTCTGTCTTTCCCACCTCTCTTTCATAGTCATGCTTCCCATGATGATCATCTTTGGTGAATCTTTTTCTAGGTATTTCAGAACAAAGCAACAGTGGTGATCATTTTCCATGTTGAAAGAATTTATCCTAGTACACTTTCCTTGAGCAAAATCATTGTCTTAGAATATCAATAAAACCAAAACCTTCTCTCTATTTGGAAAATACCTTATTGTTCTGTCTTTGTACTTTATTCTGGTTTTGTTTACCTTCCAGGAGTTTTTAACAGAAGCCTTGCCAGTTGGCCTCATTGGGATGAACTGTGTTTTGATGAAACAGTATATTGAGTTTGTAGCTGACAGATTACTTGTGGAACTGGGATTCTCAAAGGTAAGGTGTTCAAAACCACCCTTTTACTACCAGGTAAAATGTTATAGTTAAGTAAAGCCCCTAAATGTTTTACAAAAGCATTTATATTATATAATTCTACTTTTAAAATGTTCATGACAGAGATGTATTTTTTAATTTTTAAAATTCTAATTTGTTATATATGAGAGCAGAATACATTACAATTCATATTACATATATAGAGCACAATTTTTCATATCTCTGGTTGTATACAAAATATATTCACACCATTCGTGTCTTCATACATGTTCTTTGGATAATGATGTTCATCCCCTTCCACCATCATTTCTAACCCCATGCCTCTTCCTTTTCCCCTCCCACCCTTTTGCCCTATCTAGAGTTCCTCTGTTCCTCTCATGCTCCCCCTCCCAACCCCACTATGAATCTGTCTCCTTATATCAGAGAAAACATTTGGCATTTGTTTTTTTGGGATTGGCTAACTTCACTTGGCATTATTTTCTCCAACTCCATCCATTTACCTGCAAATGCTATGATTTTATTCTTTTTTATTGCTGAGTAATATTCCATTGTGTATGTATATCACATTTTTTAATCCAGTCATCTACTGAAGGGCATCTAGGTTGGTTGGTTCCACAATCATAGCTATTGTGAATTGTGCTTCTATAAACATTGATGTGGCTATATCCCTGTAATATGCTGTTTTTAAGTCCTTTGGGTATAGACCGAGGAGAGGGATAGTTGGGTCAAATGGTGGTTCCATTCCCAGCTTTCCAAGGAATCTCCATACTGCTTTCTGTATCGGCTGCACCAATTTGCAGTCCCAACTGCAGTGTATGAGTGTGCCTTTTCCCTCACTTCCTCGTCAACACTTATTGTTGTTTATATTCTTAGTAGCTGCCATTTTTGACTGGCAGAAATGTATTTTGTATGAACAAATTGGTTTTACAAAATCCTTTGAAATTTAAAATGAAATTCAAAATAGAARTGGGAAGCTGGTAAATATTAGCACTAATAAGTTCAACACATTACCTTGTACATGGTAAGTAGAAATTGTAAGTTTTAATTTTTTAGTTTGGAATTATAAGTTTAAATTATATTTAATGATAAAACTTATAAAATCCACAATGTTAGGTGCAGTCTTTACTTCTTTTGGTAGTGCATTTCTATTATGGGAACCGCAGAAGCACTTATTGAAATAGTCAAGTGGTGGCAAATCTTTTTTAAGATAAACCATGCCAGCAACTTGTGAGGCTGAGCCTGAAGGATTGCAAGTTCAAAGCCAGCCTCAGCAACTTAGGGAGGCACTAAGCAACTTGGCGAGATCCTATCCCAAAATAAAAAATAAAAAGGGCTGGGGATGTGGCTCAGTGGTAAGTGCCCCTGGGTTGAATCCCTGATACAAAAATTTAAAAAAAGAAAAAAAATTTATATCTATCTATCTATATATATATATATATAGAGAGAGAGAGACAGACAGACAGACAGACACACAAACCATTTTATTTTATTGTTTTAGTTGCAAGACACTCTCTATTTGTTAGTAACTTTTACTGATATGTTTGGTTTTAGGAAAATTAATTTGCTTATGTAAGCCTTAAAATGAATTCATTGTTCTTTAACCTCCACCATATCCTCATATCCATGATCTCTTGCTTATTAGGAAAACTGGTGACCCTTGTGTTCAATTTTTCTTTTGGGAACTTCATAATTGTAGTTATATAAAACATACTTATTCTTACAAAAGAAAATCTAAACTCAGTATAAATCTTCTCCTGGGTCTTCAAAATATCTGAATAAATTCCCCAAATCAGAAATTGCACAAACCTCTTATATTTTTGAAGGCAAAAAAACATAACAATAAAAGGTTGCCAAAGAGCTCCATCTACTTAGAAATGGAAAAAGTATTCTTCAAAAGGAGAATAAAGGGGCTAGGGGTGTAGGACAGTGGTAGTGTGCTTAGTACCAAAATGAGGAAGGGGAGTGAGGGGGAGGGGGAGGGGGAGGCAGGGAGAGAGAGAGAAAAATTAAAAATTAAAAAATAAATTTTGAGCCAGGCRTGGTAGTACACACCTGTAATCCCAGTGGCTTGGGAGGCCAAGGCAGGAGGGTCATGAGTTCAAAGCTAGCCTCAGGATTTTCTGTTTTACTGGAGTATAGTTTTCAAAATAGTTTTGTTTTGTTTTGACTTTAGAATTTTATTTTAAAGGTTGTACAAGGTCAGATTCTGAAACTGTTGCAAACCTRTCAGGCAGGGGAGATGAAAAAGAAAAGTGAAAAGAAAAAAGTAAATTTTTCATTTTGTACAACCATTCAAAATAGTTTTGAATCTGGAAAGAAATATGGAGATTCCTTAAAAAACTTTGACCCAGCTATCTCACTCCTCACCATATACCCAAAGGACTTAAAAACAGGGRCACAGCCACATCAATAGCAGCACAATTCACAATAGCCTTTGTGAAACCACCCTAGATGCCCTTCAATAGATGATAAAGAAACTGTGGTATATATACATGTAAAAGAGAATAAAATCATGGAATTTGCAGGTAAATGGATGGAGTTAGAGAATATCATGCTAAGCGAAGTAAGCCAATCCCCAAACACCAAAGGCCAAATGTTTTCTCTGATAACTGGATGCTTATCATAATGGGGGGGCATGAGATGAGTGGAGGAACTTTGGATGGGGCARAGGGAGGGAGGGAGGGAGGATGGAGGTAGGAAAGATGGTGGAATGAGACAGACTTTATTACGCTAGGTACAAGTATGATTGCATGAACGAAAAATCAGAAATTGCACCAACCTCTTATATTTTGTATAAGATATAAAATATTTTGGATACAACTAGAGAAGTGAAAAATTGTACTTCATTTGTGTACAATGAATCAAGGAGCATTCTGCTGTCATGTATAACTGATTGGGACAAATAAATTTAAAAAATTTTTAAAAAGCCAGTCTCAGCAACTTATRGAGGCACTTAGCAACTCAGCCAGACCCTGTCTCAAAAACATTAAAAAAGGGCCAGGGATGTGGCTCTGTGGTTAAGCACCCCTGGGTTCAATCTTCAGTACCAAAAAATAAAAAATTAAATAAACTTTGAAAATATAACAGTAAGATTACTATATTTCAAAGCTTGTAGAATGTAATCAAAGAGGTTTTCAGAAAGTTCATGTGAATATTAAGAAAACAATCTCAAGCACATGAACTAAATTTTGAACCCAAGGAGCTTGAAAACAATTTTTCTATACTGACAGTTTTTGAGAAGATTAGTAGTAAATGATCATCATTTAATGGATTCTTTTTATGATTATTATTTTTTGTGGTGCTGGGAATTGAATACTAGGGCCTTGGGCATGCTAAGCATGCACCCTCCACAGAGCCCCATCCCCAGCCATTTTAACAGTTTCTTAAATAGAAGTCAYATTATTGATGTTATCAACTTCTCTTAGTTACAGATTAGTCAAAAAACATTAAAAATTTTCTGTGTGTTACAAACAAGCTGCTTAATTTAGCTTGGTTACCTTGTCCATGCCATAAATGATTCAGATCTAATTTATTGAAGTTCCCCRTTTCTAAAATCCAGTGAATCTATTATTGGTGCACTATCTTTTCTGCTGTGTCTTGCAGCTTCACTCTCTCTGAGAGGCAGTTTCACAGGATTCAGTTATCAGCCACACATAGCATATGAATACTCTATSTATTTATCTATATATCTTTATATACCCACACACATACATATACATACATATGTGCACTTATGTTTACAGATTTATTAGATATATATATTAGATATAAATCATAACATGCAGTTCACCCATTAAAAATGTATAGTTGTTTTATTATTTTTATTTTTAGCCCTGGGATTGAAACCAAGGGTGCTTTACTACTGAGCTACATTGCCAGCCCTTTTTATTTTTTGAGACAGGGTCTCACTAAGTTGTTGAGGGCCTCTCTAAGTTGCTGAGACTGGCTTGAACTTGCYTTCTTACTGCCTCAGCCTTCTGAGTTGCTGGGATTACAAGAGTACATTATCCCACCTGGTAATTAAGTGGTTTTTAGTATGTTCACAGTTGCGCAATCTTCACAACAATCTATTTTAGAACATGGTAACATGTTTATAATATCAGAAAAAGTTTACCCTATTAACAGTCAGCCACCCCCTCTTTCCCCTCATCCCTTCCACTCCTAGGCAATCTCTAATCTAATTTTTGTCTATAAATTTGACTCTTCTGTGTATTCCATTTCATATAAATAGAATTGTTAAATGCATGACTTTTGTAACTCTTTTCTTTCTTTAGTAGATTCATTCACAATGTAGCATGCATCAATTCTTATTTACTCCTTATGACCAAATGGTATTCTATTATATGACTATATGGAATTTTTGTTTGTTCATTCATCAGTTGATAAACAGTTGAGTTACTTCTACTTTTTGCTATCATGAATAATGYTGCTGTGACATATGTTTTCATTTCTCTGGAATATATACCTAGGGCTGAGAATGCTGTATCATACAGTAACTCCATGTTTAATCATAAGAAGAACTGCCTGTTTCCCAAAGTGGTTGCACAATTTTACATCCCCACTAGTATATGAGGGTTCCCATTTCTCCACCTCCTCACCCACAGTTGTTATCTGTCTTATTCTAGCATTGGGGTCTTGATTTACATTTCCCTAATGGATAGTGATGTTGAATATTTTTTCATGTGTTTATTGGCCTTTTGTATGTTTTCTCTGAAGAAATGTCTATGTGTCTATTCAGATCCTTTACCCATTTCAAAAATTGGATTATTTGAATCTATTCTCATCTGTGATGTTTGTAATTCCTGCTTGCATACTTCTAAACTCAGAAATCCTTTTTTATTGTACCTTGTGAATCACTGAAATGTTTCCAATGAGCTGTATTTCCAGCCTTTCTTCTTTAATTCAGTAGTGAAAAAACTTCTTGTCAGCATGTGTCCAGCATATGTCCAGCATGTATCCCCCCTCACCTAGTGTTCCTCAGAACATACACTGGGAAAAGCTGGCCTAGAATCACTTCTACATACAGGAAATGGACTTTGTTTGCAGATATCTAGTCACTCTGGATTATCTTTCCTGATTATGACCTGTTAAAGTCAATTTGAAATTATGTATTCTGTTATAAACTAAGAAGCATACTTAAGAGCTCAGGACATTGTTGATAATTTAATATTTTGTAGATTGTGTATAGATGACTACCTGATTATAAATCCTATGAAAAAATGCCTGTAGTTTCTGTGGTGTGTTGAATCTTGCAAGCCATGARAACATTGCCTTGGGTTAGTATTAGATATTTCATTTCCTGAAATATTTCCTGTTTATTAGAATACAAAAGGTATTCTTGGAGGAGGTTAGTAGGTGACGTCACTCATATGAAAATTTGTCAAGCTTGATTGTTGACTAGGTCATATTTCAGTGCCTCCAGGACCTTAGGAGAACAATATGACCCTGTAGGTGACTAGAAAGGTGTTGGGAAATCTAAGCTCAAATGGATTCTATTTGTTATTCATGTATAACTAAAAAGAACCAATACATTAAAAATAAATAAATAAAGAAAGAAACAAACAAAATATACTCCAACTGAAAAAAAAAAAAAAAAGGAAATACTGGCGTGTGCTAGGGTTGTAGCTCAGTGATTGAGCAGATACTCAGCATGCATGARACCCTGGGTTTGAACCAGCACCAAAAGAAAAAAAAAAAGAATCTCCAGAGAGAAAAATAAAATAAAATAAAATTTATTGATTGATTGTCATTTTTGCCATTGTTGTAGGATATCATTTATTTGGCTTCTTCAGAATATCTAATAATGTGTCTTTTCTTTTCAGATTTTTCAGGCAGAAAATCCTTTTGATTTTATGGAAAACATTTCTTTAGAAGGGAAAACAAATTTCTTTGAGAAACGAGTCTCAGAGTATCAGCGTTTTGCTGTTATGGCAGAAACCACAGATAATGTCTTCACTTTGGATGCAGATTTTTAAAACCTTCTCCTATTTAAAGACCCTGTAGCCTTCATTGGTAAATAATAGTCTATTTTTCTCTACTTAAAAAAAACTTAACATATTTACTTTAAAGAAATGGGAATTTGATCAAAGGGAAATCTAAAACCAAATTTTAATTACATTGAATTTATATAAATACACTCTAATTTTCCTGTACAATAGGAATTGCTTTTTTGTTATTGTTACTAGAATATATTATGGCATTATTTCGTGGTTAAGAGTTTGGGGTSAAGGGTCAGATATGGGTTTGAGGTTCTGCCCTTACTCCTTTGTGTGACTCTTGGCAGATCAGTTAATCTCTGTAAACCTCAGAGTACTTATCTTTTAAATAGGTATAATAATAGAGTAATATGAGGATCAAGTRCTTAGTTAATACTACCACCATTATCTTTATTATTGGTAGGGTTAATTGGAGTGATATTATGATAAAATGTCCTCTCTTTCAAATAGTTACGATTCTGGGTCCTAAGATCTAGAAATAATTAGATCCCTATTTTTAATGTTTGGGGGAATAATATAAGAATTTCCTTAGACATAATTATCTACATGAGGATAACTTCATTGAATTTCTCAGTARAAAGGAAATTTAGATCTTAGTTACTTTGGAAGGGGTACTCATAGAGTAGAATCTAGGAGGTTATCATGGTGGTTGACCTTGAAAGCAAAATGATTCTTCTACTTCAGAAATAAAATGGTAACTGTTGCCAGATTTAGCCCTGGAATGTTTAGAACCAGGATGAATTGGCTAGAATAGCATTTCCCAAAGAATATTCCCAGAGCTATTAGCCCCTCTAGATTTTTGTGTGTGTGTGTGTGTGTGTGTGTGTGTGTGTGTGTGAGTAAAAGGGATTTGGAGGTCAGATGAATTTGGGAAATGTGGTACTCTCCATTTTTCTTTAGAATGTATATGTGAGACTTCAAAGACTGAGAAAGTCTACAGTCCAGACACTAATCTATCCTTGTATATTTCAAACATACCCAACACAGATCTGTTTTTCACCTATTAATATCCCCCCTCACCTAGTGTTCCTCAGAACATACACTGGGAAAAGCTGGCCTASAATCACTTCTACRTACAGGAAATGGACTAACAAAGGGAAAATTTGATAGATATTATTGAATCCTTTCATATTTGTRTCTAGCTGAGGAAGGTATCCAAGACTGATTCCAGCTGTTTCTTAATATCCTTAAAATTTTTCTATGCTATTAAAGGAAAGTGTCTTTCAATGAAACTATGTATCTTGCATGATAACAGATGGTGAGGGAGATGGAAGTCTCTTTAATGGAAACAGAGTAAAGACCAAGARCCTAGGCAGTCTGTCTGGGCAGTCTGCCCCTTCTTCAGTTTTAMGAAGTGTCAAGAGGTAGCTTCCTATTCACAGCCAAGTGTACTTTATAAAATTCTGGAAGCTAAAATTGAGAGATTTTCTCTCTGTATAAGTTTTTGCTTCTGTTCATCAACTAATTGATCAAAACTGGAGTTCTCAAGTGATGAATGAAGGTCATAACTTTTATTATTAGAATATCAAACTTGAGATGTTCTGATTATCATAATTCTATTTGTTCCCAGTTTGCCAAGTGTTTTTATTTTTACATCATCTCATTTGATCACACAAAAGCTTTCTAAGCTTGATAGGGAGCTATTATTGAAACATTATAGATGGAGAAAGTGAGTCTCAAAAAAGTTGATCAAGATCTCATAGTCACTGTCCCTACGGTATATTTTTTTTAGAGGTTGTCACATCTCTTAAATTTGGTTCTTTTCCATCCATCTTGATTTGATTTTTACCTATTTCCTTGTTAATTAATATGTCACATAGTATCACAGTATTAATATATAGACAGACTTTAATTAGAATCTCAAAATACCACTGGGAACCATTTGAACTATATTCAAGTATTATATTCAAAGATATTTATATATCTATGATAAGTTACACTGTTCAAAATTATTTAAAGCTGGTAATATTTAAAGGTATCAGAATGAAAGAATAAAAGTTTTATAGTGCATTTTGCCTTTATTTGAATCCAGATCTTTCTTATAGGGAATGACAGGTGCCTTAATGTGAAGCTTATGTAACTGCATTTGGGGAAGAATGCTTAATACTAAAATACTGAACTTTAATACACTGGATTTTGTTACATTCAGTATTTTAGACCATTTTTAATGCCTCTAGGTTGCATATTTATTTATTATGTTCAGTACTTTTGTTCTTAGGTTTTTCAGAATCATGTCATGAAATCCCTTTTTAATATCTCACAAGAAAAAATTGAGTATGTTTATACTGTTTCTCTTCATAACACATATATTTAAATCATGTCTGAGGTAGTTACAATTAAGTTTATTATATTTAGGAACATAAAAGTGCATACATAGTTCTRTGATAAATTGCACTTATTAAAAAATATTTTATTGCAGCATGAAGAATCATGGCCTGGAAGRACTTAAAAAGACAGTTTGACTCAGTGTTTTCAGACAGGGCTGGATTTTGCTGTCCAATTATATACAGTAATTAACAATTACTTATACAATAAAAGTGTACCTCAACCATGTTTTATTAAATAAAAATTTTATAGTCATTTTATTTTGGAATATCCAGATTATTCTGCTTCTTTTGCCATTTTTTTCATTTGTACATGGAAAAAGTGATTACTGAAAAAAAGATTGTTGTATATATATTTTAAAAAATAAGTTATTTAGTTTTCAGAATTTTGCATTGCATATTGCATTTAAGTRTGATAACATCACTGTCATAGAATTTCCAGATTTCCTTTGTACAGCTTAAGCTAAGAGCGAAATGTCATGAATGCTGATGGGCTGCATGAAAGCCAAATCAGACCTATATTCAAGTATCAAGATTTCGAACCAGGTTGAGTGAATGGGTGGCCAACTCAGCAGATTCTGAATGAGTAGCACAGAAATGAMATCCTTTTTTCATCATTTCCCTTTAAGTGGTCTGCTCATTTGTAAACTGCTGTAGGTTTGAAGAATATTCTTAGGACCTTAGGAGAGAGGATTTAATCATTGAATTCTGTAAAAGAAAATATATGTAAAAGTGGAAGATCAGAGAATGATTCTTTTGTACAGTTAAGTAAATTCACAGTATTCTTAATTTATGAACTTAACTATTTTACAACTATATGTAGATTTTTTAAAATAGATCATTCAGCAAAATTATTTAGCATCTACTCTCTATATAGAAATCTTTATAAGATGGGATATAACAATTTGTTTTTTGGTAAAATATATTATGGTCACTTAAACCAACCCCACATGTACAGAATTTGTATTTTTTTCAAAGAAAGTTGTTGTTAATTTTTGGTTTAGTATGTTAAAATAAACTATCATTGCTACATCATTATGTGTATGTCCTTTTTGAATAAGAATGTTTCTGCATATGTTTAGGTCTTCACTGAATGAGGGGTATTGTCAGGAGGAGGAGGAGAGGRGTATAGAGATGAGTTGTGATTCTCAAACGTATTTGTTACAAAAGAATGGGGTACTCATGGTCCAGAGGTGGCACTGAGAATCTAGCCCTACTTTCCCTCATAGACCTGGGAGTCCATAGGCATATGAGAAAATAAAAAATCTCTTAGGAGGACCGYGTGGGAAATAAAAGTTCCCAGAGCAAAGTACTTTCCAATAACAGAGGCAGTAGAGGGACAGAGTGGACTGATTTTGGAGCAGGGGTCACCAAAGGCACAGGGCAAGGATTTGGGTGGCAGAAGGCATGTGGGGTTGGGTCAAGAATGGGGCCAATATGGAACACTGTGGGGACGATGTTGARGTGGTGGTAGTTGGGAGGGTACTGGCCTTTTAAAACCTGCTGAGTTGAGGTGTGGCAGGAGGGGCAGAGAAGAACCATCATCCAGCTGTCTAGGTTTTCCATGACCTTTCTAGAGGACATGTTTATGGCAGGATAGCCCTCATCGTGCATCTGGGCTTTCTGCATCCTGTGCCAGCTCTCATAACCACACCTGCCTTCTGTTCATTTATCCAGGTTGTTTATACACAGGAAAAAGGGGCAAGAGGCATCCTTCAGCTGCTTACTTAATTGAGCACTGGTCAAGACATTGACCATGATCAYGATAGCCCCTCATCAATGATAATGTCCAACTTCATGTGTCTTGAAAATTTAATTCTCAATAAAATTGGTATTTGTGAAAATTGAAGAGTTTACAAAGTGCTTCTGCAGTCCTGTCATGCCAATCGTTTTGTTGGTTCACTTATTTTATGAGGAATTGCTGTCATAAGACTTGAGGCTCAGAGAAGTTCATTTTCTTGTCCAAGGCCCCAGAGCTAGCAGATGTTAGCAGCAGCTCTCCAATCAAGGTGTCAAGGCTCTAAATCCCATCATCTGTTCACTGACTAACCCAAATTTCTATTCCTAYTTCTGGTGGTACTCAAGAAGATCTTCGAGAGATATGATCCCCTTGACCTGCACAGCCTGTAACACACTCCATTGCAGGTGCCAGTTTAGTTTCATCTGCATCTCTTGAGGTCCTGCCCCACAGCACGCTGGCAATTGTCTGAGATTCACTCTGTAGAAGGAGTGGAGGGGCGCTGTCTGCTGGAGCCTGACCAGAGTGGCAAAAATGTGTAAAGACATCCGTATTGCAAGGGCAATTTTCACCTGCTTTCAAATCAARATTGGGAAATAGATATCCTTTGAAAACATTTCTTTAAATAAAAAAGTAATTTAAAATATTAGGAACAGCAGTAGTACAGATGGAACTCAGAATGGCATATGCTGACAGTGATTGCATGTGGTAAGTGTTAACTGTGGGCCACACTATGTGATCGCCTGTCTAGAATGTTCAGAGCTTTCTAAGGAGTTTGGAAGAGTTTCCTGAGAAGTCCTGCCCAGAACCCAGGGTAATAAAGTGGTGGCCAACAAAGATATGCTTACTACAATTTGTGTAAGTTCCAGACGGWAAGGCAGCGCCTGCCTCTCATTCCTGCCATCTGTTGGTTTTGGTCTCTTGGTTTGGAACCTAAAATCTCAAGGCTCCCATAGCCCTTCACACAGTTCTTTTGAGACAGAGTCTGGCCAGCTGAAGGCAACAGCCAGCTATAATCAGCCTTTTCCTCTCTGAACAAATAGACTAGTTAAAAAAAAAAAAAAAAAAGCTATTCCAAGCATGTCTCCCTTGTGTGATCTTCTCATCTCCAGAGACTCATCCTTATCAATGGGCACAAGAGTGTCATATAGAATGTTCTTTTCCACTGCTCCTGCCTTCTTCACTGGCTAGTCTATGTATGCTCATGGCTCTCTATACTTATGGCCATCTTGGCACACTATGTCCTGAAGTTGTGGTTGAGCCACTTTAAGGTAGGGACTGTGTTCTTTACCCTGGACTGGGGACATGGCTCATTGCTAGAACACTGGCCTGGCATGCATAAGGTCCTAGGTTTGATCTCCAGTACTGCAAAAAAAAATAGCAAAATATACTTGTGTTGTCCTGTGCAACACGTAGCAGATGCTCAATAAGTATTCAATGATTGGATGGGTGACAGAATTATTTTGCATCATGAAACCTATTATCTTATCAAAATAACTGAGTAGCTAGAAACCATTATTTACAGGCCACGTGTGACCTATGTGCTTTATATATGTCATTTCATTTACTCTCCTAACAATTCTATTGGGAAGATATTTTTTCCCTTCAAATTTTATAGAGGTCTCTTACATGCCAGGTACCATGGCGGTGCTAGAGATAAAATCATGAAAAAGACAAGACATACTGTCTACCTTGTAGAAGGCCAGACACACATTAAAGTCAATAAAATTTTKCCCTCATTTTCAAGGTGAGTTTCAGAGACTATCTACTCCTAAAGTGGTACAGATAGAGTTAGCATTCTGTGTCCGTTCCAATTGATGTCAAAGCTCATAAAAAAACTTTTCTCAGAATCCTCTAGTCAAGATGTTGGTGCCACTGATGGGCAGAGTCTGAGGAGGGGGCAGGGAGAGCAGGCAGCTACAGGAGAAGCCAGCAGAGGGACTGTGGCATCCTGTTAGCAGCTGGCAGTCAATGCTGGCCTTGCAGTCTGGGTGGGGCAGGGTTGATAGGAGAATTTAGTAAAGCCAATTCAATATAATTCTCAGAAAGGGAAGAACAGTTTCAGCAACTTTCCAGCTGCAACAAACGAGTTCAGAGTCATTTGTCCCCAATGTGCCTGGCATGGAGGCAGGAGAAAGCCAGCCAGGGGAGGCTGGTGTGGCCTCCTGCCTTCCCTGGGTCGAGGAAAGCAAATTTGTGGGCAGAAGGAGACACTGTGTCAAGTCTCTCCCTTTCCAGTCAGGCCAGGGCCGTGACCTGGGTGCCCCACTGTAGAGAATCAAATGTAACTGCGTTACTATTACTGTCCTTGATGGAGTTTGCCTGCAAACAGGATATTCTGTCAAGATATAGAAAGGCAACAGCGGACATGCTTGCAAACGAGGTGTCTGCTGTCCTTGGGAGGGCTTACTCGCAAACGAGGGCTCCTTCAAGGTTTAGATAAAGTAACAGCGGACATGCTTGAAAACGAGATGTTTGCTGTCCCTGGGAGAGTCTGCTCGCAAATGAGAGGCTTCTTCAAGGTTTAGATAGGTAACAACAGACATGCTTGAAAGYGAGGTGTCTGCTGACCTTGGGAGAACTTGCCTRCAAACGGGATGTTCTGCCAAGTGGGCTTGGAGGGCGCTAAGAAAAWTTTTTTATCTGTTCTAAACAAAGRGCAGAGCTCAACATACTCCAGGCTGAGAGTAGATTAGCCATGAGAAACGGGTCACTTCTGATTAGAAAGTAAAACTTCTATGTGCTATGTTTAATTAGCTGAAAGACCTGATTTATTGAAGTTGGAAGGCTGCCTTTTTTGTTCACAATACTATAAAAAGATTGCTTGTACACAATAAAGGACTTTTTTTCTGCTGCTGCTTTGCTTGCTGTGCTTCTTCTTCTTCTTTGYTTTCCCATGCTGACCTGCAAGTGAATTACTGCTACACCCCACCGCTGCCTGGTCCCCATCTCCCACCTTGGGCACTCCACTGGTGGCACCTGCTCCTGAAGATGAGTTTTTCTTGGYTTCCTCACGGTGGAGCCCTTGAGCCACTGGCTTCTCAGTTTAGAAACTGCTTCTTCATTGCAGGATATAAGAGGAAGATTTTAAAGAAGGAAGATTCTGTTTTCAGAGAAACATGCCCAGCAGGAGTGAGGCCTGTAGACACAAAGAAGATCTGCATTCTTGGTTCTGGCCCCTTTAGGATGACCAATGCCAGCAGAAGTCCTTGGGGAATTTCAGCCCTGGATACCGAGATGAAAGTCTAGGCCACAGTGGCTCAGGGAAACCGTGATTTCTGGACCAACTGAAAGAGGAAGAGTGTTTCTGTAACAAATCCCAAGCAGTTAAGGAACAATGGTTCAAGCCACAGATCTCAGAGGTGTCAGGGGGCCTGGACAAGGTGCAGAGTCAAGGGGGATTTTGGTATTTGCTTATCCATGGATTGGGTGGAGAGGGGAGGTTTAGAAATGGCAGAAAATTAGCACTTACCCTCCTCTGGTACCTTCAGAGAGGAGCTGGGGATAGAGGGGACATTCTAGCTCTTGTCTGTTGTACCCATGGGTCCCACAAGTTCCTTTGGCTCTGGTTACTTGAAGGTCATTCATCTCAGCCTGAGGTCAGGACAGGATGACAGTATTTTCCCCATACGGGTCTGAGGGGCAGGTTTCCTGGGAGCTGGCAGGTGGGGGGGGTGTCATTAAATGACACCACACCTTGCAAAATAAATCCATCTTGATTCAGATAATTCACTTGCAGCCCATAGAAAGTACCTCCAAATGTGGGGTGCTKTGCTTGATATAAGGAAGAGCACAGGTCTTGGAGCCACATCCTGGCTGGGTGACTTTGGCAAGTTACCTGCCTTCTTTATGCCTCAAGTTTATTACCTATAAACTTGGACAGATAATAGRATGGCCCTTCCGTGCGGTAGGAAGCTCATGATAAGCCCTCACTAAGTATAATTGCTGTCACAGTGCTTCTATCTGGCACTAGAATTCCAACCCTATGCAGGAATATTCCTTTTAGAGGGATCTAAAACCAATGGTTCTTCAAGGATGAGCTTCCTGTTATGTCATCTTTAATAATTTCTTCATCGTATAAGTGTTCATTTCCATTTTGCAGACTGACCATGCACATTTTTAGCACGTATTTCTAAGTTGTCTTAGTATAAAGCATTTTCATTAGCTGGGATATAATCTTGTATTTTCTTAATAAGATAGCTTTACTCTGCCCACGGTAATTAGGAGCAAGTGAAATTCAGTTCTGTACACGTTTAACATCCTTTGTTGCTGTTATCGGG